AAGAGAGATTCAGTAGGTCCTATAGTCATCTGTGGCACACTTCTACTGACTGAACCGATGCCCTTTTCTAATTTATTTCTTCCCTGCCTGCCTCTACTACAAAAAAGAGAAAGTAAAATAACTGAATCTCCCTTCTCACTCGCAGCAATGTACAGAACAAATGGCTATGTGACACAGGTTGGCCAGTGAGATACAGGTAGAAGTCCTAGGATACCATACCATCCCTAAGAAAAAGGAAAAGCCTTATAGTTGCGTCTCTTTGCCCTTTATTCTCCCCCCTTTCTTCTACCTGGAAAAAGGACCCATTGCCTCCACATACAAAAACAATCTTAAAAGACAAAAGCCACACTAAGAATGTAAAAAAGGAAGCTAGACGCTAGCTTGTACTCTTGGATTTCTTGTTACTGAAGGAAAATAATCTCCTTACTTGTTTAAGCCATGGTTTGTACAGTTTTCTGTTACTTGTAGCCTATCACATCCCAAATGATACCCCATGTTTCAAGGAGAGAAAAGAGATGGTGGAGGGGAACAAATAATAGAAGATAATTATCTGAACTATGGAAAGAATTAAACCTTCAGATAGAAAGGGCCAACAAGACACCAAGCAGCAACAAAAATGTTTTTAAAGAGACACATAAATATAATCTGAAAAGATTTGTGAACCCAGAAATAAAGAGAAATTCCTACATGCTACCAGAAAGAAAAGATTCTGCATTTAGAATTTAGTTACCACCTAAGCTAATAATCAAATGAGAAAAAAATAAATAAAAATTTTTAACACAAACACTCAAACCATTTCTTGGAAGAAAATTATTCAAAAAATTCCAAATAAATAATTCAAGAAAATAACATACAATTAAATAATTAGTTGAGTCCAAATACACAGCTAATGATGTGGCTAAAATGTTGACTAAATTTTGTTGAGAAAGGTTCCTAAATACAAGAAGCTACTGTTTTAAAAGGGAAAGATAAAAACTTACAATATTCTAGAACTAAAATTCCAGGTGATTTTAATACTTCCTGGAGGAAAAAAATGGGATAAAAGGAAAATGAAAGCATACTAGAGAGCCAATCTTGTTAAATACAAGATTTTAGAAACTAATTATTAAAGATGGAAATAAAATATGCATTTTACTGTATTTTTAAAATTTGAGGGTTGGCCAGGCTCGGTGGGTCAGCCTTTAATCCCAGCACTTTGGGAAGCCGAGGCAAGTGGATTGCCTGAGCCTGAGGGTTTGAGACCCACCTGGGTAACTTGGCAAGACCGCGTCTGTACAATAAATCAATAATTAGCCGGGCATGGTAGCACGCGCCTGTAGTTCTGGCTACTTGGAAGGCTGAGGCGGAAGGATCGCCGGAGCCCAGCAAGTCGAGGCTGCAGTGGCCGGCAGCATGCCACTGCACTCCAGTTTGGGTGACAGAGTGAGAGTCCAACTCAAAAAAAAAAAATTTGAGGGTTAACAGTACCAGATTAGAGACAGTGTATGAATTTTCAAACCATGAGAGGAAAAGAAGATAAAGTTTAAAAAATACGATAAATAAAATATAAAATTTGACATCTGGAAAAGGTCCCAAGAGTATCAGTGGTCACAACAAATATTAACAATTAAATATCTTCACTAATACATAATAAAAAATAATAACAAAAGATAAATAAACAATTAAAGATAGAGACACAATAGCAACAACGACAACCAAAAAAAGCAGCTACATGGGACTTATAAAAGATGTACCTAAAACTAAGATAATAGAGAAAGGTTTAAAATAAAGACAGGGACAAGACATAAATACTAACAAAAATAATATGCAATAAGCAACATTATTAACACAAATTCATTGTTAAAGCATTCCTAGAAAGAATAAGGAAGATCGATCATGCCGTAGTTTGATACCCAAAGAGACAGTGGGCAGCAGTTTGCCCAACCTCACAATTAACAACAAAACTAGAATGAAACCCAAATCCCTTACTGTTATCTGAGATTTTGTTAATAAAATAAACAAATTACAGTTATGCATTGCTTAACAACAAGAATATGTTCTAAGAAATGTATCATTAGGCAATTCCATCATTGTGTGAACATTACAGAGTGTACTTACACAAACCTAGATGGTATAGCCTGCTACACACCTAGGCCACATAGGATGGCCTATTACTCCTAGGCTACAGACCTGTACAGCATGCTACTGTAGCCGGGCTCGGTGGCTCAGCCTGTAATCCCACGCCTTTGGGAGGCTGAGGTGAGTGGATTGCCTGAGCCCGCGGGTTCAAGACCCGTCTGGGCAAGCGAGACCTCATCTCTACAATAAATCAAAAAACCAGCCAGGCGTGGTAACGCATGCCTGTAATTCCAGCTACCCGGAAGGCTGAGGAGGAAGGATCGCCGGAGCCCAGCAGACGAGGCTGCGGTGACCAGGAGTGGCCACTGCACTCCAGTCTGGGCAACTGAGTGAGACTCCAACTCAAAAAAAAAAAAAGAAAACTGCAGGTGACTGCAACACAATGGTAAGTATCTGTGAATCTAAACATATCTAAACATAGAAAAGGTAGAGTAAGAATACAGTATGGGCACTTTCCATGAATGGTGCTTGCAGAACTGGAAGTTGCTCTGGGTGAATCAGTAAGTGAGTGGTGAGTGAATGTGAAAGCCTTAGGTTATTACTGTTCACGCCTATAGACTATGTAAACATTGCACACTTAGGCTATACTAAATTTACTATTTAAAAATGTTCTTTCTTCAGTAATAAATTAACAACTTACCGTAACTTTTTCACTTTAAAAACGTTCAAATTTTTTTTAACTTTTTGACTCTTATAGCAACACATAGATTAAAACACAAACACATTGTACAGCTGTGCAAACGTATTTTCTTTCTTTCTATTCGTGTTTTCCTATTTTTAAAATTTCTTCTTTTTTTAATTTTTAAAACTTTTTGTTAAAAGCTAAGACTCAAACACATTCATTGGCCTAAGCCCACACAGGGTCAGAATCATCAATTTCACTATCTTCCACGTCCACGTCTTTTCCCACTTAGAAGGTCTTCAGGGGTAATAACAAGCATGGAGCTGTCATCTCCTATGATAACAATGGCTTCCTCTGGAATACCTCCTGAAGGACTGCCTGAGGCTATTTCAAGGTTAACTATTTTTTTTATATAAGTAGAAGGAGCACACTCTAAAACATGAGAGCTATAACATTACAGATAGGAAGTTATCAGCTCCGTTATAATCTTGTGGGACTACCATGTATGCATGTTGGCTGAAACATCATTTTGTGGCACATGACTGAACCATGAGTCAGCAAAGCTAAAATACTTCAGAATTATGTGGGCATTTAGCAGTCTGCCTTACCCACACCCACTTCATCAGCCCCACAATGGCAACACTTTTGTCGGTTCCTAGACACAGCCTCTGCTGGGCCCTGCCCATCTCAGAAAGTATTGTTTATGCTATCATCTGTGATATTCTGTAGATATGCTTTGGGTTTGGGATGGAAGAAAGGGATATTTTGTTTGCACACAGAACTTTTTTTTAAATGGGATGTCTTGTGAACATTTTAAAAGTTTAATGCTTCCCATAAGAATCTGAGTTTCTAGCTTCTCTTGAAAAATTGGAGGATCCAGGCAGCCCTGGTCTGGAATTTTCACGCAGCCGCCAGCAGCTAGTGCTGAGTAATTGTCTCCCATTGGGCCAGCACGTCCTTCCATGTTCGCCACAGGTATCACTGCATATGCACAATCATAAATTCATTGTTAAAGTATTCCTAGAATGAATAAGGAAGATCGATCATGCCATAGTTTGATACCCAAAGAGACAGTGGGCAGCAGTTTGCCCATACCTATAGCAAGACTATAGATCCTCTGAATCTATGTATCACTAGACATGGAAACTAAAACAAGGTTTCTTGTTCAAGAGATTCATTGAAGGAGTGCCTTTGGGAGTAGAGACATGAGGAAAACAGACTAGGACAAGGGCACAGAGCCAAGCAAGGATGTGTTTTCAGCTGAAAACCAGCTTCAGTCTAATCCCTGGGGAAGCTCTGGGGGACACGTTGCAATACAAAGCTAATCCCATGTTGAGGTGAGGGGATTAGGGTCGGGAGAGGGTGATATCCTGGGCTGTTGGGCTCTCACTTGGTTTGGGGCGATTCTCCAGGAAGAGGGACAGCTGTGCACTCTTAGCACAGGGATGGGAGAAGAATGCACAGACAGGCGCCAGAGAAAGGAGATACAGGTAGGGCGCCAGCAGCATTCATTCCATCATGTCTCTGTTAAACACAGAGAAATGAAAAGCTAGACAACACAGCTAAGTGCTTCAAGAAACACAGGACAGTGTATTTCTTTGTGGAAGTAAAGAATATTCCTACAATTTAGGATATTCCTACAAGTTCAGTCGGCAAAACAAGTGCAAATGCTGGGCCATAGCACTTCTTAGGTGGCCTTCCCAGGCCTTATTAACACCCGCATTTGCCCTACTCCACCCTCATTAAATGCAGCTCCCCTCTTTCAGCTCAGTCTGTGCTCTCCTGGATTCTCAGGAAAACTGGCTGCTCAAGATTAACTGGGCAGGAGCAGAATGTTTTTCTTTGGGATTACTGATGACTACACCCAAATACCTTGAAGCCGGTTTAGGGATAATAAGAAAAGGATACAGAGAAACACATTTGTATGTCACCAGTGACTAAGCCCATACATCACAGGCAACGGTTACTATTGAGGTAACCAATGTGTAGTCACCCTTATAATGACATAAAATAATCCTTTGAAAGTCAATAATGAGTTTACCACGAATAAATTTTAAAACTTTGATTAAAAAGTACCCCACATATTTAAAATTTAAAAATAAAACTTTGATAAAAATAATTGTGTAAAACAGGACTTAAGTCAGAGAATATCATCTGGCAATCCGAAAAATTAGTGTAAATTTGTACTGAATCAATAACATGATTTTTAAAAATCAAAATTACACAGTGTAGAGGTCCCTGACGCTCAGAGTTGACATACCTCAGAACTGAACAGCCCCGAATCTCTATCATCCAAGTCCTCCAAAAGCTCAACCAGCCTTTTCTTCTCACTGTCAATCATAACCACTGGGTTTCTTGAATCCTTGGCCAACTACATAATTTATTAAAAGAAATATTAAGTACTCAAAGCAACTCATAGTTCAGGAAAGTAAAAGTGGTGACTGAGGCTTCTACAATACAGATATAGGTAAGGTAAAAGTTGTAAGATTAGGCATTTTACATTTGCTAGGTAATTTTATTTCATGTGAAATTTTTTGTATAGGGCCATTTTCTAATATCCAAAGATATTCCCACTATAAGCAGGGCCCCTTTTTAAACATTCTAACATTTTATTAAAAAATAAATAAATAAAATGAGCAGTTTTCAAATCTCTCTTTATATTGTGTATATACAAATATAAATGCAAAAACATATTTGCTAAGACATTCACAAGAAATCTTCATGCCTCTTTCTCTGCAGCCTTTATCCACTAAGTGAAACTGCTTTTAAAGACTATGATATAAGGAATTTAAATAAAGATTCAGTTACTATTGTTAAAAGGAGGCAAGGGAATTCTAGGGGAAGCTGCTATCGATGTCAGCAAGAACTCAGATATGGGGAAAACTCAATGGTTAATAAACAAGCAACAGGCTTGTGCAAAGACAGAGACAGATCAAGGTAGAGGTTTCCTGAAGAAGATCAGACAGAGAGCACAGAAAAATCTGAGAGTCCAAAGGCCGCTCCAGGCAGTGGTAGGCTGACTCACAAATCCAGTCTGCCTGAAAAGGGTGTGCCAGTTGCAGGGAGAGCAGCAGATGTGAACCATGAACAATTATGTCACTCTTTCCTCTTGTCAATACTTCACACTCACCTTTCTAGTGACTAGCTGCTCAAGAGGCTTGCCGTGAGCTTCTGTCCACTTCAGCACATTTCTTGCTATAAATTAATTAATTCGCATCTCATCTAATACAGGAGCCTCTGTGCCATTGGTAAGTCTGAGTCTGCCTTGCAGACAAACCAAGTCAGGCTGCAGGGCCTGCAAGATCAAGGATGAGTCCCTGAAGCAGGAGCTAATCAACGTCAGTGACCAGCTGTCAGGAGGCCCACAGAAGTGCAGACAACCAGCTGACTTCTCCAGACTGCTGGCCCTGCTGCTTCACCAGGAGCACTTTCCATTTGAAGTTCTAAATGTATCAGCCATAAACTGAGTCTCATTACTTTAAAAAACCAATTTTACTAATATGCGATTTAAAATCTGGGAAACATTGTCCAAAGCTATTATCTAAATAAATGTTTTTCAAATTGCAGAAAACAGACTGTTTCTGGATTGTGAAATAAATGCTAGTTGTAACTAGCATTTTTTAAAGGGATAGGATAGGATAGAATAGGATAGAATCTAGTGGAATAGAAAACAGATAATGGTGAAGTACTAGGTTATAAAACTTTTCTTTCAGTTATATATACTAATCCAATTATATATACATTTGTCATGGTCAAAAAAAAGAAAAAAAGGCACTGTGCAAGGAGGAGGCAAGAGGATTGCCTGAGTCCAGGGGTTTGAGACCATCCTGGGTAACTTGGCAAGACCTCAACTCTACAATAATTAGCCGGGCGTAGTGGTGCACACCTGTAGTTCCAGCTACTTGGGAGGCTGAGTCAGAAGGATAGTCTGAGCCCAGCAGGTCGAGGCTGCAGTGGTCATGAGAGTGCCACTGTACTCCAGCCTGGGTGACAGAGTGAGACTGCAACTCAAAAAAAAAAAAAAAATTAAAGACATTGAGCACAACTGTTACTATTTTTGCAACTTATTTAGTACCAAATTCTGGCTTCTGAATTTCTAAATACATACCTCAATGTTTCGTTTAATAAAATCCTGGTTGTGTTTACCCTTGAGCTCAATCTTTTCGGTATTTGAGGAAAGTTTCTTTCCTGCTTTGATCAATGACTCATTTCTTTCCACATCATAGGTAAAATCTAACATTTAAAAAGTTCAACATTTTTTCATAATTATTAATTATGCTAAAAATTCACTTTAAGTATATGTTAAAATACATAAGAAATAAACATACATAGAAGAACTAACTTCTAAATTCCAGATCCAGAAACCTTATATCTATGGAGACTGCTTCTTAAAAAGGTAAATGTGCTACCATAACTTCTAATGAAGTTCTCATAAAACTTCTGTGTTATTCATTATCATGTATCAAACTTATTGCTGTTGATTCATGAGAATGATGGGAAATATGACCAGAACGTAAAGTCATACATGTGAGGAAGAAATCATGAATGTTATGGGAATTTTAAAATATGCATTTTATTCTAGTTCTTATATAAAACAAAAATGTCCCTAAAGGCTAGGTCATTTCCTGCTATTCTATTTATTTGCCATCATTATTTCTGAGCAATAAACTTATTGTTTGGCCTGTGTTTAAGCAAGGTCTGGGAATAAGTGACCTGGCTACCCCACATCCCATTTACACAAATGCCTAGAGCCCATCTCAGTTTGTCAATTTGCCTCAAGCTTTGAGAAGAGGCTTGAGTAAACTGAAATATTCAAACCCTAAGTACTCAAAATAAGAGTAAAAAAAAAAATTGTGGATTCTTATTCCTATTATTAAATATTTTGTTTTCACTGTGTCACATGTAAAGCTTTTTTAAAACATGAAGCTTTCATTAAAGCTCTAAAAATATGCATAAGAGTGTCCTTAAATGGCAAATTAACTTTACCCTACAAAATAGAACAAATTGCCACATTAGAGTCTAAAAAAGAAAACACACTAGTCAGTAGCTCAACCCAGACAAGGTTTACTTAAAAGTCACTTTTGTTTTATAAGGGAGAATATTTTAATAAAAAGGATTCAGGGACATAGTCAATCAGTATGTTTATAGCTAATTATCAAAGACAGATTTAACTATTTAAAAGTAAATTTTGATGAAAATAGCCAGAAAGAGCTAGGAAGAGTAAAATCTCTGGATTTAAATTTTTTTCCAATAAAGATAAATTTTAGTTAAAAAAATCTTTTACTCAAATTTAAGTTATATAAGTTTCTAGGCAAATGAACCAATGCTTTATAACTGTGGTTTATTTTTTAATCAATTATGTAAAAAAATTTTAAATCATCTATCAATAGTTAAGGTATGAGTTACTTTTCTGGCGAGTGCCACCTTAGATATAAAAGATATTTTTAGTTGAAATAAAGTTTATTCATTCATATACTCTTAAACAATACTACATTTTAAAAAACTCAAATGCAGTCATACTTAGAATTTCTTTAAAATCTATTTCTAATAAATTGTTAAAATACTGGATTATCTGGCCAAAACTGTCTCACTAGAAATATCCTCTTCTCCTCTCCAGTATGGCAGTAATATAGCTGCCATGTTCCTATATGACCCCAAGCCTTGCTGGGTTGGACGGTTGTCTGGGCCAAGAGTAGGCACCTGAACCAGCTGAGTCAGTCGGTCTCTTCTCTAGGGTTTGTAACTGACTAACATAGCACATGCTCTTGGGAACCAAAGAAAGCTATCTACCACAAACATCCTTTTCATACTTTTTTCTTTTTTTTGGTTAGGCCAGGTTTTCATTACTTACGGTAAAGGTAACTCTTTATTATACAAAATTTCAAACATCCAAAAGTAGAAAGAATGGTATACAGACTTTCAACAACTAGCTTCAACAATCAATTCAAGATGTTGTATCATCTTGAATCCTATCTACTTTCACTCACCTCTGGATTAAATTAAATTATATCAACTCATTTCATTCACGAATACTTCTGCATATAGCTAGTATTCCCTTGTGACAATATGTATAATCACACACAAATTAAAACATACCTTGATTGACATTCTGCATCCACTTTTCATATTCTTCTGGAGGGACTTGAGTGTGAAACACCGAGGAAAAGGTGTCTTCATCCCCATAACAAGAAGGATCTGATTTAAAAAATCATTTATTCAATATGCACAAAATAAATAGGGAATTATCTACAGTTGTAAAAAAAAAGATAAGATTTAATATTATCTCCAGAGTTCCTCAATTCCCTTGACACATACAAATTTCTTAAGACAAAGTCAATGTCACCTCCAAGAAGAAATGACAATCTTTGTCACATGAGCCACTAAAACAAACTACAGAAGTCAAGATAGTCAAACGGCACTTCCCTAGAACTTAAACACAAAGAGGATGTACAAGGGTGTGCTTAAATATCACAATAGTTCTCCAGAGATAATGTATCCAAATCCTCATAACACAAAGAATATGCACCCTGAGTAACTGTAATTATGATTTTCTTTTTTATTTTAGAGCCCCAAGGTAGAGATTGCAAATATATGGTCAGTTATTAAGATAAAACAATGTGTTTGAAAGAAATAATTTGTGAGACTCTTAGCAGTTAGTTTTCTTCTTTTGTGACGTATGCCCTTCGACTAATCTATAAAGAAAATAGAACATTGTGTTTTTCAGCTTTGTTTCAATGTAATTTGTTTTTACATTCTCCTATTAGGTAATTCAGACACTATACATTTGCAAGAAACTGAATATAAATATCTTTTTTTTTTAAGTGTGTCTTAACACAAGAGAATCTGCCAAGTTGTGGCACAGAAATGGTTTTGCTTTAGAAAACATGGCAAGTCTTGAGGATCTTACAGTATCTGCCGCCTCTCCCTGAAAATGAACCTGGTTCAAATACCTGCTCTGAGGTGACACAGACAAAGGAAGCAAGCAGAAGATATACTCACCCCCACTACCCAACCACCAAATTTGAAACATAAAACTTCTGATATTAAAAACTAACTCATCAATCCCAATTCTCTAACTTGGAATTCATAATAATGAACTATAAATTGGAACTGACATTATAATATTAGTCTTTGTACATTCTTCGATGAGTCAATCAAGCACATTCATGGAGCAATCCTGGGGAGAAGGGTAAGCTACTCAGAAGATTAAAAAGGTTTAAAGTCATTTTTGAACTTTAATTTTTCTAAATTAAAGAATAATAGCAAACGCTATTATTAGGAGTCTTAAATATTCATTAAAGCAGGCTCAGCGAGTCAGCAATTTGGCAACATTTTATTATCAGTTTAAATCACATCATATTCCTGAAGTGGTAATATATTTGCTTTTGATCCCATAATTCCTTTTTGACAGTAGCTTCACTCAGTTTTACACCAAAACACCTATAAAGACACAAAAATATAAAAACTTACAATATGAAAAACTATTAAAGCAAGATGACATTTGAAGATTTTAAACCTAGAGACCTCCTACATTGGGATTATCTTCACCCATCATCCCAGTGGTATTTATTGCCTCAGAGAGGTAGGTTCAAACAAACCCAAATCGGAGGACATTCTACAGTCTTCAGAAATGCCAGTTTCATAAAACACAGAGACTAAAGAGACATGACAACAAACTAATACATGACCTGGGATTTTCTTTTGCTATAAAGGATATTTTCTTTTGCTATAAACCTGGAACAATTGGCAAAATTCTCAATAAAGCCTGTCAATTGGATAATAGCATTACATCATTTCCTAAAATCAGAAAATGCTAATTTCCTGATTTATAAAGGGCATTTGAGAATACTTTGTACTTTTCTTGTGACTTTAAACCTGAAATTATGTTAAATAAAATGTTAATAGAAACATATTTTAAATTCCTCTCCTCACTACAAACATTTAAGTGAGAAGGGAAAAGAAATCTTCCTTTAGAGATCAAGAACCAAAACTTTGAGGATTGAGCACAGAGTGTTTAATAAGAGCCCTGAAAGAGGAAGATTGCAGGATGTGATTTAAGTTATTTCCTGACCCACTACGAAAGAAATTAAAGTCTATCCCAGATAAGGAGAGAGGACCCAGAAGATCATCGGAGGGAATGAGTTTAGAGTAGACACCTGTGACCCACAAATGTGAGGCTGCCCCCTGGCACACATGCCTTGGAAGTGAAACCCTGGAGTTGACTAGAAAACCTGAAGAGGATGGGGAAACCCAGGGCAGAGTGGGCTCTGTCCCATGGCACATCTGAAACTAGAGACAGACCCTACACACAGGCACATGGTGCTCTCCATCTACCCATGACAGCTACAGAGCAGCAACAATAGTATGACAGTACACATGTCTAAAGGGAGACAGCAGCTGACGTATTCACATACACACACACACACACACACACACACACACACACACACACACACAATTCCTCATAGCTG